AGGGAAAGGCTACCCACTCCAGTATCCTGGCCTGGAGAATTCCCACAGAGGATTGAGTGACTTACCACTTTCACTTCACTTTAGCAACTAACTCATCACACTAAGTGGGGACCCCAGTCACGGGAAGGCACTGGTGGCCCCTCAGAAGAGGACCTGCTGGCAGCAGGGCCAGCTCCCTGTCTCCGGGGGCTCCCGAGCCCCTTCGTGGGGGGCCGGCTCTGGGTGCAGCAGAGGAAGTTGTGGCCAGGTCATCCTGAAAACAGAAGAGTCCCAGGAGGGCTTAGCACTCCCACTGGGAGGCGAGCTGTGGGCTGGGCCCTGAGGCAGGCCGGGTGTGGTCACGTTGACTCAGATTTCTCAGGTGACAGACTCGGATCCTGCCCTCCTTGGGTCTCCTTGGTGGGCTGAGTCGAGCAAGTTGTTGCAATTCAGCCTGGAGGGATTACAACATCCTGCCGTGGTGGGGCGAGGTGCTGCCAACCCGAGATGAGCGCACAGTGTGAGCCGGTGCCGGCAGAGGCGCGCCAAGTGTCCTTGGGCTTCCAAACCAGAGGACCCTTCCAAACTGCCGTCCCCGAGAACAGCGATTCTGCTCTCCTCAACGCCACGAGAGCCACCCTACTACATTCCCCGTCTTGAAGATGAAGAAAGAGGTTCAGAGTTTCTAAGTACCTTGACCAAGGTCGTCAGTTCACAAAGTGCCCGTTGGAATGGTGTCTCCCCAGGCCCAACCATTTTTGATCCTGGAAAGGTTATGGGTACTACATTTGATTTTTGTTTTGAATAGTTGAATTAATTTTGCTCTAGATGTAACTTAGTCCATTTGGGCATGGAAGCCTGGGTTGGGAAGATCCCTCGAAAAAGGAAATGGCAACCCACTCTCGTATTGTTGCCTGGGAAATCCCATGGACAGAGGAGCCTGGCAGGCTACAGTCCATGGGGTTGCAAAGAGTCAGACATGACTGAGTGACTAACACTTTACAGCTTTTGTAGTTGAATCACCGTTCTTGAATATACTGTTTCTTTCTTTTTTTTTTTTTGTCTTTTTTCTCTTTGCTTTCCAATTTGGGGCATTTTTATTGGCATGTCCTCGAGCTCACTGCGGAGAAGGCAATGGCAACCCACTCCAGTACTCTTGCCTGGAAAATCCCAGGGACAGAGCAGCCTGGTAGGCGGCAGTCCATGGGGTCGCTAAGAGTTGGACACGACTGAGCGACTTCACTTTCACTTTTCACTTTCATGCACTGGAGAAGGAAATGGCAACCCACTCCAGTGTTCTTGCCTGGAGAATCCCAGGGACAGGGGAGCCTGGTGGGCTGCCGTCTATGGGGTCGCACAGAGTCGGACACGACTGATGAGACTTAGCAGCAGCAGCAGCAGCAGCGGCAAGCTCACTGACTCTTTGCTCGGCTGTATGCAGTCTACCAATGAACCCATAAGGCATTCTTCACTTCTGTAACAGTGTTTTGATTTTGAGCATCTCTTTTTTACTCTTTCCTGGAATTCCCATCTCCCTGCTTACATTACCCATCTGTTCTTGCATGTTGTCTAGTTTTCCCACTAGATCTTTAGCAATTTAATCATAGAGATTTTTCTCTGTTTTTTGGCCACACCGCAAGGCTTGTGGGGTCTTAGTTCCCAGATCAGGGACTGAACCCATGCCCTTTCAGTGGAAGTGAGGAGTCCTAACTACTGGACCGCCAGGGAATTACTGATCACACTTAAAATTCCCAGTCTGATAACCACAACATCCATGTCATATCTGAATTTACTCTGATACTTGCTCCCTATTTTCAAACTGTGGTTTGCCCTTTAGTATAATTTGTAAATTTTTTGTTGAAAGCCAGACATGATGTACTGGGTAAAAAGGAACCTGGTGCTGCTTCCTGAGGAGGTTTATCCTCATGGTTTGTCCTCTGGTAAGTTGCCCTTCTTCCATATCCATCTATGTCTCTCCAGTCTTGGGAGCATCAGCTTGTCCTGTGTTTAGACAAAACCTCAGTTTTTGTCTTTTGAATGGCAGGGGGTGCGGGTGTGGCGGGGAAGCAAACAGACCAGTTCTTCCCTACTGTATGTTTCTTCCCTATGACTCTCCTTCACTAACTCAGACAAAACACTTCATTTCTGGTCACCAAATGTGTGGTTTTTCACTGACCAATTTTCTGCAATACCACCTGGGTGTTCTACAATTTAACTCAGTTCTGATGCCATCTACCCGGAGATAGCATTAAGGATTCAGTCTCAAAAGACTGCCCCACCTGGGGCCCTCTGCCCCACTTCAGACCCCAGCTGCAAGCCCAGGTTGTCACCTGCTTCTGACCAACAAATTACAGATCAGAGGTTCCAATACACCCCTCCTTGGGTGTGATCAAATTGCAAGAACTCAGGGAACCTCTTCCTTACACTTAACAGTTTATTAAAGCATGTGATAAAGGATACACATGAGTAGTCAGATGAAGAGATACACAGGTCAGAGGTTGGGGAGGGTCCCCAGCGCAGGAACTTCTGTCCCCTGAAGCTGGGGGCCCATCGCCCTCCTGATGTGGATGCGTTCACCATCTTGAAGGCTTTCTGAATACTGTACTTCAGGATTTTTATGGAGCTTTTTCATGCATGATTAACTCTATTTTCAGCCCCTTTCCCTTCTCAGGAGGATGGAGGGTGGGGCTGAAAATTCCAAGCTTCTAATTATGCTTTGGCCTTTCTGGTGACCAACCCCTGTCCAGATGCCCACCCAGAGTCACCTCAATAGAACAAAAGATGCCCCTAGTGCTCTTTTCACTTAGGAATTTACAAGGGCTTCAGGAACTCTGTGCCAGGAACGAGAGGCAGAGACCAATATATATTTTCTATTATCTCACATCCTGTGACCTAATTCTCTGATGGATCTAAGAAGATTGTTGATTTTTGGTTTGTTCATCTTTCTTTTCTTGTTGTTAGAATGTGACTTGGCTGGTTTAAAACTCAACATTCAAAAAACTAAGATCATGGCATCTGGTCCCATCACTTCACGGCAAATAGAAAGGGAAAAAGTTGGAAACAGTGACTGATTTTATACTCTTGGCCTCCATAATCACTGCAGACGGTGACTGTAGCTATGAAATTAAAAGATGTTTGCTCCTTGGAAGAAAAGCTATGACAAATCTAGACAGCATATTAAAAAGCAGAGACATCACTTTGCCAATAAAGATCCATATAGTCAAAGCTATGGTTTTTCCAGTAGTCACATACAGATATAAGACTTGGACCATAAAGAAAGCTGAGTGCCAAAGAATTGATGCTTTTGAACTGTGGTGTTGGAGAAGACTCTTGAGAGTCCCTTGGACTGCAAGGAGATCAAACCAATCAATTCTAAAGGAAATCAGCCCTGAATACTCATTTGAAGGACTTTGGCCACCTGATACAGAGAGCTGACTCACTGAAAAAGACCCTGATGTTGGGAAAGATTGAAGGCAAAAGGAGAAGAAGGCAGCAGAGGATCAGATGGTTGGATGGCATTACTGACTCAGTGGACATGAATTTGGGCAAACTCCGGGAGACAGTGAAGGACAGGTAAGCCTGGCACACTGCAGTCCATGGGGTTGCAAACAGTTGGACATAACTTGAGTGAACAACACAAATGTGACTGATAACTTCTAAGCCCCTTGCATGGCAAACTAGAAACCAGAATTCCCATTCTTTTACTTTTAATTCATCTGTGTCTTCATGTTTAAAGTAGATTTCTTTACAGTCACCATGCAGTTGAGTCTTGCTTCTTTTTATCCAATCTGACAATTGCCGCCTTTTAAATGGAGTAGCTAGGTCATAAATGCTTAATGTAATCGTTGATATGGTTGGGTTTTAATCTAACATCCTATTATGTTTTCTATTTTGTCCCATATGTTTTTTGTTTGTTTCTTTTTTCCTCTTTTCCTGTCTTGTATACATTGGATTAATTGATTTTTTTATGATACAGTATTACAGAATGACACCCAGGCCCTGCCCTAAAGGAATTTCAAAGTTAGTGGCGGTGGCAGCAGCATTCTGTCACATGATGTGAGCACTGCTTACGCAGGTGTGGTCCCCTGGGAAATCTCTGCCAGCACGCATGTCTATGCACTTCTCCGTGGGTACACTGAACCTCAGCGAGCATCTGATTAAAAAACCAAACACAAAATAATGGGAGCTTGAAACCCACCCATTAAAGCAATCACATAGAGCCAAACAAATAAGAAGTATCCTTGGTTTCTCACACCAGAATTGCTGGCTGATGACAAAGTGCCCCGTGATGAGATCGCTATCAGTCCTGCCTCATCATGTCACTCATTATCCTGACATGTGTACACATAGGCTCAGAAAAGACATATTTCCCATTTTGTATTAATTATAGGTGATTCCTAGTCAGTCTCTCTTCTTCCTCTGAGACATTTGAAAAGAAGAGGCAATAAGATTGAAGAGACAGAAACATACCTCCTTGAACCAGTTGTTAGTTTTTCTTGCCATTTGCTGGTTTTCCATTTAAATTTGTCTGAGAGTTTAGCTTCTGACCAATTAAAGATCATTTCAGGGACTTTCCCTGGTGGTCCAGTTGCTAAGACTCCACGCTCCCAATGCAGTGGGCCCGGAGTCGATCCCTGGTCAGAGAACTAGATCCCAAGTGACACAGCTAAGAGTTCGCCTGCTGCAACTAAAGATCCCTGCTTGCTGCAATGTAGACCCGGTACAACCAAACACACACACACATAAATAAATATACATTAAAAAAAAAAGATCATTTCAGCACAGTCATTCTACATGCATGCTTCCCTACAGAAGGAAATCTGATCATTGTTCAGAGTGGAGCAGGAGAAAATTAATGTAGAAAATGTCTGTTCTTGACATGGAACTCTCCTGGCCCTCAGTGCTAGGGAGGGGGTAAACACAGATCCCGGGATGAGCACCGCTTACCTGGGCGCTGTCTTGAGCACAGACACAGCACAGGCAAGCCCCTCAGCGCTTCCCTGGGCCTCCGAGGCTGCCTACCCTGCTTGCTGGCCGAGAGACTTGCTCAGATGTGCACAGATGGGACTGGACTTGCGGCTCTAAGTCAGGATCTGTCCCCATTCGCTGAGAGACATGACTGATCAGACATAAACACACACATGTAGAGGGGGCATTCTGTAGTAACCAGAGAGTCTGATCTGGGAAACCCCAAGTTTCTCTACCCCAGTGTTTTGTTACTCTCAAATCCAAACATCAAGGGTTTTGATGTTACCAGGCATCTCCACTACCTGCACTCAGGAGCAACGTCATCTGAAAATCCTATTCCCACCTCCCCAAGTGCCCTGCAGAGCAGCTGTCACGTCTAGGATGCCGTGGGACTCTGCCCAGCTGTCCTTGTTGTCCAGTGAGGTGGTCCTCCATGTCTATCATACATCTCTGCTGTCTGGTTTAATCCCCCCAAATTATTCTAAATCCAAGAACATAATGAATTTCTCTTAAACTTCTGACTGTGAGATTTCTTTTGGCTGAAAGAGAGGAACTCTGTTTCTGAGAGGGAAGTCAGGCCTGCGGAGGGGGGCGGGTGGCGAGGAGGAAGGAGAAGGCAGCCAGCAGGCCTGGACCAGGTTTCCCGCCTCTCCAGCATGCACCTTCCCTGTAGGCAACAGGGTTTACCCATTTGCTTTTCGCCTTACCTTGAACTTCAAGTGCCCTTTGGAGGAGGAAAGGTCCAGTGGAACGTGAGCGATACATACGGAGAGGGTAGATAAGCAGGGGTTAGAAGCGCTTATGCTCCGTTAGAAGCGCCAGAACTGGCACTAACCATCAGTGCTTGTCAGAAGCACTCTGTCTGCTGTGGGGCTCTGATCCGAGTCGGAAGCCGACACAGGGAAGCCCCAGAACTGAGGAGCAGAGACCTGAGGATGAGAGATGTGTGTTCAGGTCTCTGCTCTGCCACCTGCCGTATCTGGGAATTAATACTACCATCTGGGCTGCCTAATTCACAGAGGGTTGTATGGAGGCAAGGACGACCTGGGAATGACCTTTGCAAGGGCGGTCAGTGGAGTACAGATAAATCAGTGTGAGCAAAGATGACCATCCTGGTGATGATGACTTCGACCTCCAGCCTGTGTGAGGGACAGAAAGCCCCGGTAAGACACGTGCACAAAACCACAGAGAGGAGGGCTGGGGGCGTGGCAGCCCCAGCTCAGCATGGCCAGCCAGCACGTGGTCCTGGGCAGAGTCCAAGGTCAGGAGCCAGGCCTGCTGCCTCGAGGCAGGAATGTGTGCCCGCCTCCCTTCTCTCTCCTTCTAGAATCACCAGAACTCTTCAGTTGGGAATAGAATCAGGAAAGCTCCTCGAGGGGAAAGTTTTGTGGGCTGAACCTTATTAATGTTATATTTAAGGTTCCATCCATTCATTATTATATAACATTTCACAGTTATTTAAGGTGCATGTTCNTCTAGGTTGGTCATAACTTTCCTTCCAAGGAGTAAGCATCTTTTAATTTCATTGCTGCAGTCACCGTCTGCAGTGATTTTGGAGCCCAGAAAAACTAAGCCAGCCACTGTTTCCACTGTTTCCCCAACTATCTGCCATGAAGTGATGGGACCGGATGCCTGAGGTTCTTTCAAAAACACCATGTCAGGAATCCTGTATTATCCCCATTTCACTGGTGAAGAAATTGAGGGTGAGATCGGGTGAATGAACTATCATCACACCACTAGTAACTTGAAGCAACCATTTCTGACTTCAAGTCCTGTGTTCCTGTAAATGCTGTTCAGTAAACTACAACAAACCTAAAGGAAGATGAGAGGGAGGGGAGATGGAAGAGGACAGGGGAGGAAGGAGAGAGGGGAAGTAGGAGAAAGGGGAAGGGGGGGGGAGACTAGAAAGGGAAGGAGGTGAGCAGCAAATCAGGGAAGGAGGAAAGGAAAAAGGGAAGAAGGAAAAAAGTCATTTGAGAGAGGGTAGAGTTCGCACAATATACACCGCAAGAGTAAGGCTCAGTCTGTGAGCAGACAGGTCCACTGTCCCCCTGAATCGTCACCTGGCAAGCCCTGGCTCTACTCTCCAAGGCTCCGGAAACACCCATCCCATCCCGTGGCGGGTCCAAGCGCCTGCAGGCCCCGGCACCGCAGACTTATACGTCTCAGTCCTTCTTGGCATAGTTGCCCTGAATGCACCTCGCCATCTCCACAGATGAACCTCTGCCAACAACTGGTCAGACAGGTCCTGGGCCCAGCGCTGCTCAGACAGGTATGGGGATGCTTTGGACGGGGCACGCCAGTCCTGGACACTCTCGCTCAGCCCTCTGAGCCCCGGGCTTTGGGGACGCTTGAGCTCCATGCGGAGCTCAGGCACTGAAGGTCCGAGAGGCAGCTGGGGTCACAGCTACCCAGCAACCCCGAGAGCCGCCCGCACCAGGGTGCTTTTGCATAAAGTTGCCCAGGTGAATCAATGCGTAGATGCAAATCAATGAAGAAATAAAGAAAGGGAGAGAGCTAGACAGCCCGAGTTCCTGGGTGCTCACAGCTCACGCGCTCGGAGCGGAGCCCCTGTTGGCAACGCGGCGTTTAACGCCCAGGTCCTGCACAATCCAGGCTCGCGCGCTCTGTCCGGACGAAATGCCAGAAATAATTATTGTAGACAACACCGCAACACCTATTTTCTCTGCCCTCGCCGTTTCCTCCATCTGCTGTCGGACTTTGGAATCCTTCTGGATAGCCCTGCGCTCCCCGGCGCCCGAGCATCTTCCTCACCTGGTGCTTGAATGCGGGCACTCTCTGCTCCGGAACCGCACGCTGGGAGCGCGCGAGACTTGCAGGCGGGGAAGGGGACGCCCGCGGCCGGCAAGGGGGCGCTGTCCCCTAGAGGCTTCTGATCCTGCCGACCACCGTCCCGTCCTGGAGAGGCAGTGAGGTTAGAAAGGGTAGAGTCCTTCCAGGGGGGCTGCCGCGCAAACACACCTGCGGGGATCCCGTCTCTCTCTCCAAAGCCAGGGCCACCCCGGCCGTAGCTCCCCGAGGTTCCCGGAGCATTCCGGTCTGGGGATTTTAGTTGAGGGATTTCTGGTAGAGGAGTTCAACAGGGGTAACGGCCTAGGCTTCCCCAAATAGGGAAGTCCACCTAGACCGCGGACACATTTACTACGCAAATCACCCCCTTCCTTCCCGGTCCCCGGTGCCAGCCAGCTCCGCCCGCTCCACCCCGGCTTCCAAGATGCTCTCTCCGCTCGGGCACCCACTGTCCAGCCAGGGCTGTTCCCCGTCCTTTGCTGTTCATCTTGGGCCCGCGAGAGCGAAGGGGTGGAGAGCTCGAGCCTAGGGTGCTGCCTCTGGGTCCTAGCTGGAGGAGGGAGGAAAAGTAGGCAATCTATTCTACGTGTAAAGCCCGGGGCGCTGTAGGTTGAAAATGGGACTTGAGAAGTTGCATTTTTCCATCCGCTTACCAGGTCTTAGCCCTGGCGCCGCTTCCGGAGGGTATGTTGCCCGCAGAGGCACCCGTGAACTCAGTCACTGCACGCAAGGACCCTGAAGTCCAGGCTGAGAATTTACCGGCTGCATGTGAAGTTATATTAACATCAACCGTCATGTATGCATGGAGTTTGAGCTTTCACACACATCCCTGTGAGGTCAGTCTTCTCCTCATTTCCGACTGGGAGAAGAGCCCTGAGTCATGCATTAGGTAACCCAGCACTGAAGACCGGTCCTGCCTCCAGACCCAATCCCACGGTCCTCTCAAAATGCCGGTGCTGTCAGGGTCACCTCTGTGGAGCCCTGCACCGGATGGCTGCTCAGTAAATACTCTGTGGATCGGATTCCAGGATCGGATTCCTCATGACTTCCCTGTTTTATATAGTAGCGTGTGTCTAAGCCCTATCTGCTCACTCATTTATTCATCCACTTATTCGGCCTTTCCTGACCACCTACTGTGTGCTCGTGCTCGTGAGGAACAGCCCTATTCACATGATGAAGCGGATGAGGAGCTGTCCTCTGAGCGGGGCTTTAGGTGCCCCACAGAGGGCCCTGCGCTTCCAGCCCGCAATCCTTCCCGTGGAGCGCAGGCCCAATCTGGTCTAGGGTGAGGGGGGTGGTGTCAGGAGGAGGGGAACTCGGGAGCCCGCGTGTGCCAAAGCCTAGGATAGTCAGACGGCAGGGGTGGAGGGACAGAAGGACTCTGCTCTGAGAAGCAGGACTGGTGGTCGGCAAAGAACAGAGAAGACAGGAAAAGGGAATTTGGCGAGAGAAAGGCTGGAGGCGAGGGAACTGGAGGCTGGGACGCCAGGGACCAGGGTGGGGTGGGGGTAAAGGCGTAAAAAGAGAGACGTCAGAGGCCAGGGTGAATGAGAGAACTGAGGCCGCAGGCGCGCTCTCTGAGGAGCCAGGGAGCTGCTGAGCGTCGAGGGGACCCTCCAGTGGGTGCCACGGAGAACCCGAAACGGGATCCAGCCCCGCCTGCAGTCTCTTTGCCTGCCCAAGTTGGCTGGGGGTGGGGGGCGAGATTGTCGCCGCCCAGGTCATTTACCAAAGCACAGGTGTGTTCTATCAAGAAGAGTTCACAGGCCGGGTGTCATGGCCAAAAGTCACTCGTGCCCGGCCATTCCCAGAGAAACCTGTTTGGCTTCTATTCTCCGTAGGATTCCACGCACGGGAGGAGCTGGCGGAACCTGGCCCCGGGAGGCCGCAGCCAGTCAGGTCAGCGCCGGCCCGACGACGCGAAGCGAGGCGACCCCCGTGCGACCATGGCCTCGCTGCTAGGAACTTACCCGTGGCCCGAGGGTCTCGAGTGCCCGGCCCTGGAAGCCGAGCTGTCGGACGGGCTGTCGCCGCCGGCCGCCCCCCGCCCGCCGGGGGACAAGGGCTCGGAGAGCCGTATCCGGCGGCCCATGAACGCCTTCATGGTGTGGGCCAAGGACGAGAGGAAACGTCTGGCGGTGCAGAACCCGGACCTGCACAACGCCGAGCTCAGCAAGATGCTGGGTGAGTGAGCGGGCGGGGCGCGGCCCGAAGTCGGCGGGCGGGGGTCTGGGGGCTGGAGGCTGGGCGGGTGCAGTGAGGGCGCGCGGGGCAGGGGTGGGACAGACTCGGCGTGGGGGACGCACGGGGGCGCGCACCGTGCCCGCGAGATTGGGCATCTGGGCGAGGGTGGGTGTGCGCGCGGGGGCTGGGATTCCGCGCAGGGACGCGTGGATCAGGCCCAGAGTGAACCGGCACGGCCCGCCGGGGTGGCCGGGGAGGCCCACTGGAAGGGACGGGAGCCGAGTTAGGGGCCCTGGGGCACGGGCGGGTCTGAGCTGCGGCCTGGTGCGGGCAACTCGGCTTCGGAGATCCTCGCGTGCACGGACAGGTCGGGTGTAAGGCAACAGGAAAACCCATCATCCGTTGAACTTCACCACGGGCACAATCACAGAAGGAGGTCGTACCTCTCATTAACGAATATTCGTGAAGAGAGACCTTGCGGTGGCCTATTCCTGTTTCAACTTAATTATCAAACCAACAGCAAAATGGACTTGATTCGAGCCCCTTTCTCAGTCTCAGGAGTGTAGAAAATTTGATTCGGATGCTTGGGACGGCCTGTGCGGGTATGTCCCAGAACGCGGCCGATTCCCTGGGGCTGCCCTGCAGTCCCATCCCTGGACGCTGGGCTGGGGACAAGTCAGGCCAATAGAGAAAGGATGTTCTGGAGGTCGGGGGTTTCTTTTCTCTCCACTGTCAGAAGCTGGGCACTCCAGCCAACGCCTAACCTCTTTGCCCTTCGTGGTAGTTTTTATTCATTTTGACGGATGGGAACCTTTCAAAGCACATTGTGTGCCCAGGAGGCGCCAGGCCCTGTGAAAAAGGACAGTGTGTGGCCACCCGAGGCTGGCCCTGCCCCCAGCAACCCCACCCGGACCAGCTTGGAGCCTTTTCTTTTTCCTTTTTCCACTGGAGCTTGGGGCTCCTTCCCCAGATCGGTGGAATGAGGCCTGACACCCCTCTTTGTGCTGTCTAAAGCCACAGGCCCTCTGGCAGAAAGGGTCCTCTTGCAGTTTGAGTGCCCTTTCAAAGCAGCTGATAGAGTGCTGGTTTCAAAGAGTCTCCCACCCTCTGCCCAGCCCCCTGGCTAGCTGTTCCCAGGACGAGTTAGTGGGCCAGTGTGTCTTAGCGAGCCCTGTCCCAGATAAAAAATACTTAAAATCATACTTTATACTGTGTTGGCATAAAGACAAATATATTAAGATATACAATAATAAAACAGTTTCTTCAAGCAGAAAGTTTATATTTTTCTTGAGATTTCTAAAGCAATGAAAATACTTTTTTTTGGTGAGCTCCTAAATGTATTTTTTTGGTGTGACCCAGGTGCTACGCCTGTTGCCCAAGCAGAGCTCTTGTGAGGAGGATAGAGCAGGCCCAGCCAAGGGTAGGAGAACTCACGTTAGAGAGCCTTGCAGGATTGGGGCTGCCTGCTCCCAGGGAAAGGACAGGCAAAGGGACTTGGGTAACAAATGCCTCCTGTAAGCTGGTTCCTATTGGCAGTTGGCACTTAGGCTTCTAGAGATTACAGTGCATTTTGCAGGAAAGATATGGATTCCTTCCTGCTTAACCACACAGCCCCTGGCACTAGGCAAAGGAAACTGACCTAGTGTTGCTTTGAAAAATGTGGATTTTCTACACCTGCTGAAGGGGAGGGGGCAGCAGGATGATCTATTTCCATCCCAAGCCCATGATCTTGCCCAGCCCTTTCCTTTCTGACTTAGGAAAGGGAAAAGGCTGAATGCGAGAGCCCAGACTTTTTTGACTATTAGCTCTCCAGTCTTTGACTCTAAAAACATCACACAGTAGTACTCATGTATGTTATGAATGAGAAAGCAGGTAAAGACAGTTATACATTTAGTGGTTTTAAAAATGAACCTATATTTTATGAATACTACAATATCTCGGTACACTCAGAAACTTTGAGTCACATTTTATATTCAGTCCACAGTCAGAGTGTGGGTGTGTCTGGGTCTTGGGCCTCTTGCCACAACTTGTGGCCTTAACCACAGGCTGGAAACTAATGGCCAACTCCAAATCTGGAGTTCCTGACAGTGCTTGCTTTGGCGGCACATATACTAAAATTGGGAGATCCTGACACTTTTAAAGTTGTCTTTTCAAGTGAGAGCTAATTGTATTAATTGACAACGTCACTGGAATAGTGTTATATCCTTTCATCCAAACGGTACTGGATGATCACCTTCCTCCAGCCTCCTCTGTGTGCCTGACACCCAGGGCCAGCCGGCACCCCCATGAAGGGCAGCCACGCACAGAGCTCTGGACTTGGCCCTGTGCCGAGTGCTCTGGGTGGGAGATGCGGCCCCTTTCCTTCCAAGGTTTGGGGCAGGGGGCTGCCCTCTGGGCTAATTTGTCTCAAACTTCAGGGTACAGTAGAGTCATAGGGGAACTTAAGTTCCCAAGCCTACCCTAGGAGGTAACCATCTAAGGTGCCCAGAAGTGACCTTTAGAAAACCTGCAGCGGGATGGGCAATGTGCTTTAAGAAAGAAAGAGACACTAAAGTAATCTATGCAATAACACACAAGTGAGAAGGATGAACAGAAAATACACATGAGAGCAGCATTTGTGCACCAGTGGGACACAATTGTGGGATGCTTCTTCAGATGAGAGTTTTGGTTTACTGCGGGGAAAACAAAGATCCAGGGAAGGTAAGGGGTTTACTTCTGTATAGAGAGTCAGTGGCTGATAAGGTGCCCTCTGCCGTGGTCACAGTAGACAGTTAGAAGCCATAGCTTGTGTGTATGTGTGTGTGTGTGTGTGTGTGTGTGTGTGTGTGTGTGGCATGAAGGTTTTTGTTTGACCTTCAAATGTAAGGGCTAATCCTCTGTTGCCATAAGTGAGACCCTGTAGTTTACATCTTGTAATTTACCTCTGTCTGTGAAGCTGCTGACTGATCCTGAGTTCCCTCACAAGAAAACCTGTGATAGACGTATGCCACAAATAAATAATATAGTGTCACTTCCTGAAGGGCAGCGATAACCCAGGAAGGCAGAGTTTTCATTAGGATGCACAAATGATAAGAACTGACCCTCTGAGGGTAAAGGGAGCCCAAATCAATGTTGTGGTCTACATATTTTTGTCCTGTGGGTGACATTGGGTTAGGTGGACCCCTCACTGAGAATCTCACACTGTTTACACATTCGTGTTGTCTGGTGGCTTTGATAGGAGAGGTGCCATGATTGTGTTTGTGTGTGTGTCTTTTGCATGAATGCCTTGGAGCATGCAAGTGGGAGAGGTTGGTTGACCTTACTGCGCGCAGGATGTGGGCTGAGAAGAGGGTGCGAGGAGTGTAGGGCGCCTTGTGTGAAGAGGGGGCACTGGGGTGGGGGGAGGGACAGGGGACCCGAGGCAGCAAGCTGTGCGATGCTCCGCAGCCCCAGAGACAGGTGCACGGGGGCGCCCCGAGCCGCCGCGCAGAGACTGATGGCAGCCTTGTCTGACTTGTGTGAGCAGGAAAGTCGTGGAAGGCGCTGACGCTGTCCCAGAAGAGGCCCTACGTGGACGAGGCGGAGCGGCTGCGACTCCAGCACATGCAGGACTACCCCAACTACAAGTACCGGCCGCGCAGGAAGAAGCAGGCCAAGCGCCTGTGCAAGCGCGTGGACCCAGGCTTCCTGCTCAGCTCGCTCTCCCGCGACCAGAACTCCCTGCCCGAGAAGCGGGCCGGCGGCCGAGGGGCGCCGGGGGAGAAGGAGGACCGGGGTGAGTACTCGCCAGGCTCCGCGCTGCCCGGCCTGAGGGGCTGCTTCCACGACGGCCCAGCCGGCGGCAGCGGCGGCAGCAACGGCGGCACCCCGGGCAGCGTGGACGCGTACCCCTACGGGCTGCCGACCCCGCCGGAGATGTCACCCTTGGACGTGCTGGAACCGGAGCAGACCTTCTTCTCCTCCCCATGCCAGGAGGACCATGCGCACTCCCGCCGCATCGCCCACCTGCCCGGGCCCCCCTACTCCCCGGAGTACGCCCCCAACCCCCTCCACTGCGGCCACCCCCTGGGCTCCCTGGCCCTCGGTCAGTCCTCGGGCGTCTCCATGATGTCCACCGTGCCTGGCTGTCCCGCGTCTCCGGCCTATTACTCCCAGGCTGCCTACCCGCCTCTCCACTCCAACCTGCACGCCCACCTGGGCCAGCTCTCCCCGCCTCCCGAGCATCCCGGCTTCGACGCCCTGGATCAGCTGAGCCAGGTGGAACTCCTGGGGGACATGGATCGCAACGAATTCGACCAGTACTTGAACACTCCCGGCCACCCAGACTCCGCCGCCGGGGCCCTCAGCGGGCAGGGCGCGGTCTCTGAGGTGACACCGACGGGGCCCACAGAGACCAGCCTCATTTCCGTGCTGGCTGACGCCACGGCCACGTACTACAACAGCTACAGCGTGTCATAGAGCCCGGCGGCCCGTCCGCCCGGCCTCGCTGCTGGGCCCTCCCGCGCCGCCGCGCGCACCCTGCCCCTCCGCCCCGCCAGCCTGCGGCCAGCGTTCTGAGTGTATTCCTTCAAAGGAGTTTCCACTGGCTCTGCCCTGGGAATCAGGCGCGGTCGTTGCTGAGGACGCTATTTCCCGGTAGAGTATTCACTGACCTCTCCTCCCAGTCTTCAATCCGGAAACAAATTTGGGAAAAGCCCAGCAACATTCGCATCCCTGCCGCTTCTGACACAGCCGCAGGGGTCCTGCCGTCCTGACCTTTGTTTGGTCTTCCAGGTGAGGGGAGCCCTGGGCTAAGATTCAGGGCACTGGCGGTCCAATCCCAGTTCTGCCTCCGGGGGCTGGGGAGACCTGACTCCCCTCGCCTCCCCTTCCAGCCCACCCCCCACCCCCCATCTGCGGAGGGAGGGACAGACTCCGTATCTTAGGTACCCTCCGCTCCAGGGTTTTCTGATTTAGGATTCTCTCCAAAGGAAGCTGAAGCTGGCCTCAGTGAACTCATTCACGAGCAACCTGGTGAGGATTCCGTGCACTGCCCAAGGACGCCAGGCTGCTGCCCTTGGTCACCATCTTCCAATATGAATGATCCTAGTCTTCCAAAAGGACCCTTTATGAGTTTGAGAAAAAACACTCATCGTGATTTGGGGAATTAACGCCGGGGGTTAACTGCATCACTGACAATGAAATTGAATTCAAGCTGCTTTTTTAAAAACATACTTTTTTTTTTTTTTAAGATCAGTTCTTTGATAGCTCAGTTGGTAAAGAATCTGCCTGCAATGCAGGAGACCCTGGTTTGATTCCTGGGTCAGGAAGATCTGCTAGAGAAGGAATAGGCTACCCACTCCAGTGTTTTGGGGCTTCCCTTGTGGCTCAGCTGGTAAAGAATCCACCTGCAATGTGGGAGACTTGGGTTCGATCCCTGGGTGGGGAAGATCCCCTGGAGAAGGGAAAGGCCACCCACTCCAGTTTGTGGCCTGGAGAATTCCATGGACTGTATAATCCATGGGGTTGCAAAGAGTCAGACAGGACTGAGTGACTTTCACTTTCTTTTCACTTTCATACATTTCAAAACAAAATACACGCCTGAATATTTACAGTGTGTATGAGACACACACAACATATACACCTTCATGCTCAGCCTGAATCAGATACAGTTTGCTGACCTTGGCAACTTCTTGTCAGACTTCCGTTCCTAATGACCCAAAGAGCAGGGAGTTGGAAAGAGTTTCAGCACTGTGGCATCAGTTTCTTCCAATCTGATTGTGCTGATTTCTTGAGAAGAATTTCACCACGCTGTCCCTTCTGCAGATGCAAAATGATCTTCCTTTCCTGAAATTTCTTTTTTCTCTTCTTTTCTGTCCTTTCTCCACCCCTGAATTGGCTACTGATTCAAAGATCCCTTGACTTAAAAATCCCAGGCATGATTCCTATGGCAGAAATGGGAATTTGTTCTCCTCACCAGTCCTCTGGTTCTTCAGGTAACATCTTCAGCCAACACATCAAAGCAACTTCCCTTTATTATACTTACTTCCCAAAGAATAGAAATGCACTGTGATTCAGAAAATATTTCTGAGCCCTGACCCCATCCCAAAAACATTTCTATCCCTCCTCCAAGTCTCCGTTGAAGGAACATACCTATCAGACATAAAAGACAGTTGTCTTATGATTTCAGCATTTTATTGCCTGTATGAAATATGTAAGTGTTTTTATATATTCTCCAATTATTTTCACCTTATATTTTGTATTGTTGAAAGATCCTTTTTTTTTTGCTTCCAAGGAATTCTCTTATAAAATCACTTATAAGATATGATTAATCTTTATGCTATTACTGTATGTGACTTTTGGTAATAAATAGTAAACCATGGACAATATGATTGGTGCAGTCCAGAATGTGTATTAATAATCTTATAAAACAGTATCACAGACATTAAGCTAAACTGTTCCATTTTCTGTAGGAACTATATATGCTTTGGAATGGTTGTAGATATTGGTTTGCCTAAAATATTTAATTTAAATAAACATTTTTGTACCACGATCATTCTATCATTTGAAATACAGTTTGGTGAAAGAAAAAGTTTTCAAGTGAGGCGTAGATATTTATGCCAGTTCTCCTTCTGGTGGTGGTCAAAATGTTCTCTTCATCATCTTTTTTATTTTAAAAAAGTTATCTTGTTGGAGTGGTTGATTGGTTGATTTTATGAATTATGGTAAAGAGATAAAGCCTAATTTTACACCTTAGGAACAGTGTCATTCTTCTTGATATTGAAAGAAAAGACAAATTCATAGCCTAGTTGCAAAACAATTTTCTCTTCGGAAAGGATGACTTCACACTTGTAAGGTGGAATGCAGTGATTCTCAGACTATCTCAGGATGGGAAGTGGGGCCCAAGTATTTGCTTTCTTAAGGGGAAACTCCATTTTCCCCTTTTTGAAATCATCTTTTGAAAACTATTTAGATTGTCCTCTCTCCTATGCATCTAGGGATGTGGTCTTACAAGAATCATGTGTTCTCAAAGCTCCCTGGAATGTTGCAGAGAAGACAGGGCAGCACAAGGGTGGGTAATTAAAGGATGTAATATCTTGTTAGGGTTTAGGATGAAAATCCCAGCCAAACAGTGTCCGGAAAAAAGTGATGATTCCTCAGTCCCCAGGCCATTCACTACATCTGGCTCCTCTGTGGGAAAGCCGTTGTAACTTGTTCATGTCAATAGAAGCCCTGTGTTCTTCCAGGGCCTCTGGGCCAAGGAGTAGGTCTTGGGAGGGTCTGATTGGGCAGACGTTCTTTCTGCAAATTGGATCGTAATCTCTCATCATTACTTTAATAGCACTTTATAGATGTAGGGAGTTTTACAGCAAATTTTATGGTCTGTTTCTCATTCCCAGCCCCAGATGGGACCCGTCATCACTCCACCCCATTGCGCAGTCAGGAACACTGAGGCCCAGGGAGGGAGGTGGCACCCTGGGGTCACCCTACTCAACTGGTGGAGGCTGGGTTTTCAGCACTTCAAATACATTTGCTGGCACTGACAGTCTCCCAGTTCGAAGGCTCATGCCTTTTCTAGAGATTCACCAGACATGGGGTTACATCTGGCCCATTTTTACCTCTCACATCCCAGGGAAAAAGGATGAACAAAGGGGAAATGACAAGGCTAGCATTAGATGACACCCGAATCCCTTGCTGCCTAGGCCCGCCACCGTGGCCAGCTGACAGTGAACGCCTGCAGTGTCATCCGCTGGCAGGAGAGCTTGTCCTGCAACGTCCACTGGTCGTATCTGGGTGTCAGCGTCAGCGTCCGGCCCTGGACGGTGCCAGAGGGGCGTGTTTCACTCCGGCCGCACTGTGGGGGTGAGGGTGGTGTCCCCCGCCTTCGAGAGGGCAGGAAACTGGCCGGCGACAGGGTGCTTTCTCACTTTTGCTCAGCTGTGAGTGAAACGGTCATGCCCGGAAGCCAGGGGTATTTTAGAGATTTAGCCGCCCCTCCCAGGTACCCAGCTCTCCTGCCTGCCCCTCCCAGGACACACGTACTTCTGGCTTTGGCTGATGAGAATTGATGCATGTGCACCGTTTTATGGGCTGTTTTCCTAAAACATGAACGTTACCACGTCACACTTCCTTAAGACACTTCGGTGCCTGTGCGTCGCCCATGGCACACAGGGTGAGTGCAGAGGTGGGTCCCCAGGGGCCTCGTGAGGTTTATGGGTCCGGGGAGGGGCCCTGGTACTGTGTTCACATGGCCAGCCCCCACCCTCTGCCCCTTCCCCACAGTGTACCCACGGCACGGAAAGCCTATTGTTCTCTGAAAATGCTTTCTTTCCCCAGGCTTTTGTGTGTGTCCCAGCACTATTCCACGACCAGGGAGACCCTCACTCTCACGGCCTGTCTGATGACATCTGACCCACTGTCCAAATCCAGCTCCAACACTCCCATTTATGCTGGCTCGGGGGTGGGGGGGAGCGGGTCACTCTCCTCTCTGAGCTCCAACAGGACCTGATGGGATCTAGCACTTACAGCTGGTGTTGGTGCCATCCATTTGTGTGAGTCTTCCCCAGCAGGGCAGATAGTAGCTGCTCAACAAGTAAGTGGATGAATAAAGGAATAAGGTAAACATCTGAGAAGTCCTGTAGGTGTTGCAGTGAGCCCTGGTGCTAAAGACCTGAAATCTTCTGGGTCCCTAATCTCCTCACTCATCTCTCTGGAAGCCCAGACCCTGGAGCCCTTGTGTGTGCAGTTCTCAGGGCTCTGAGACAGATCTGATGCAGCCGTGGTCAGATACCCTCCCCTGTTACAGGAGTAAACGTCAGGAGGTGGGCACAGGGGACCCAAGCATCTCCTCTCCCGTCTCATCCTAGAGTACCAGAATACAGCTGAGGGCAGATGATTTGTAGCATTTGGAACTTCCTACCTTTCTTTTGGAAAGCCTGTGCTGTTGATATCATCCTAGTGAAAGGGATTTGGACAGAAAGAAGGAAGGAAGGGAATGAAATATTTATCTGTGTATCGTCTATCCATCTGTTGAACCCATCCACCCACTTCACTTACCTATTGATCATCTTTCTACCCATTCATCCACCCACTTAGCCATTTATTATCTATCTAGCTATCATCTACTGACACTTTAATTTTCAGAAGAAATGTAGTCTTTGTAGAAAGTTTAGGGAAAAATAACATCATAGGGAAAAAATTAAGTCATCTATGGTCAACAACTTAGCAACATTACTGGTGATTTTTTTATACACATCAGTGCATTTTGTTTGTTCACTCATGCCAGTCCTATTTTGTTTGTCTAACTCTGCAGAGACACATGTGGTTTATGATAGGCATTTTATTCTTTAATATTAAATAGTTATTTTCTTATGTCCTTAAACTTTATTTTTCTGCTAAGAGTGTTGAAAAGGGCAGTGGAAAAACCAACATGAAAAAAATATTAGAAAAAAAATTACTCCATGACCTTGACATAACTGGTTCATTTTTGTATACTCAACTCCCCAGTCCTGTATTCATGCGTTCAAGATGTAGATACCATTGGTATTTGGTTTTATCATTTCAACATCCTATTATAGAAATTGTGCCACATTGATAGCTGTCTGCATATTTATCACTATTGATGATGACACAGTACTTCAGTGCATGACTGTGGCTTAGTTTACTTGGTACTAAATAACTAAGTTGTTCCATTTTCATGTTTTGCCATTATAAATAGCACAGCAGTGAACATTTACTTGTTTCTGCCTTTGGCTGGATTCACAGTCAGGTATCGCAGGTCTAAGCTATGAGTAAGTTTACAGCTTTTCATCGAGGCACAAAATGACTCCATGCAATCAATCCCCAGAATGAACTCTTTCCTACCAGGAAGAAGGAAGGCTCCTGAAGACAGTTTACACCTGGTTCCAATCTGCCCATGCTCAGTGGCCTTCCCCTGTCACTGCAGCTCGTCTTCCTAAGGACCAGTTATGAGCTTGCCACCGGCTTTACTGACACACGGGAGGTGTTCCATTCCTCAGTCACCACAGTAGACAGCACACCCTTCCTGAAGCCTCAGTTTACTCTGCGGAAGAAAGGCTTCCTCTGCCAGTCAGTGTGGGAACTGAACTGGTCCTCAGGGGCCCCCAGGGCACAGGGCAGCTGGCTGCACTCCCAGGGCACTCAGAGCTCCGGGGAGCAGGAGAGGGTCTGGGAAGACCTGGGAACCAAGGCAGGAGTG